CTCTGGTGCCTAGAGCATCTCCTCCCTTTCCTTATATTCTGACCTTAGTGTTCACAGAACAGTTTCTTACTCTTATTTTTCCTCCTCTTCTGTCTGTGTGGCATTTTCTGTCCTTTCTTAAATATGCTTTCAACTGTGGTGCCACCATCTTTGCTGGGGGGCTCAGACGTGCCCTGCAGTGGGTTGGTTGGGGTCAGCTGGAGTTGGCTCTATCTGTCACAGACCAGAGACCATCCTCCTACCCCTACCTTGACACACTAGTAAACCCAACACAGTAGTGTTTCTAATACAGCTCATAATAAACTTCACATTAAACGAACATGGATCAGCAATTCTGGTAACTTCTGCTCCCTAGAAGTTCCAATCTGTGGGTAATATAGTAATATTTCAAGCAATACTGCACTTATAGAAAGTGTATCTCACATTTTACAAAAGACAATAAAAATCTAAAACTGTAGAGTGATAACTATCTACTTCTGGCTGTCACGGAAGGGTCACCTCTTCAGATTTGTGACTGATGTTTAAAATATGCGTACTACTAGAAAAGTAGATCAGTTTGAAGAGGTTTATAGAAAGTTAATTATATCAGCAGTCTAAGACTTTATATTTAGAGAAGCAATCAGGCATCAAATTGTTCGGTGGTTTTCAAATAAATAACAAGTAAAAATGACAAGTAAAAATGACATTGGTATGATGGAAAGTCTTAAAGAAATTTCATTAGCTCACTCCGGTGATGGCCCAAGGTGAGATGAGACACACAGATCAGTGGGGTTGAAGAAAAAGTAGGACACCTAACAGTGAATTAATATTAAAATCTCAGAGTATGGCATATTGCCAGTTTTTCTGAGTGATTTAGCTAATCTAATTAAGAGACAGAAGTGAGAGGACAAATTCTGTATCCGGCTTTAGCACTGAAAAAAGAAGGAATATTGAGTAGTAATATGGTAATAAACAACTACACTCAAGTCAACACCAAAAATCATAATCAAATGACACATACTATTTAATACTCTATCAGTACTGAGATTGGCTTTTTTTTTTATATGAATTCACCATAACTCAGATAATAATCCTAATATTTTACAATGGATTTAATTAAAATATATTTTACACAAAATATGCAAAGCAAAAATAAGACAAGACAGGAAGATGAGAAAAATAAAAAGTGATCATAAAAGCTTCTAAATGAACACAGTGACATTATTTTTAATTATTTACTTCAAAAGTTTTTTGAGTTTTTGTCTCTGATATGAAACAAGGTCAGGGTTAATTTTTGAAACAGAAAGAGCTGTGGTGAAAAGCTCCAGATGATTGCTTGAATAAAGTAGTAGAAAGCTCTATCCTAAGGGGTCAGAATAGAAACTGTAATGAAAATATTATTTTATTGATTCATGTTTTAGAGGTTGAGGCTAACCTTTGATTGTTTTATGACCACTGGCATATAATGAATTCTCAATAACATAGTGCATATATGTATTTATCCAGTTACAAAATATTATTAGTAATACTTTGGTTTTATTAATATGTTTGTTTGTATCTTATGCCAAAAAATCATGCTGCACATAAAAGCCACCACAGCCTGACAAAAAGACGTGAGTTTTTTACACCTCAACACTTCAGAAACAATCAGCTTCTACAGTCTTATTCTTTCTCCTTCCGATATATACAAAGTGGACAACTGTTGTGGTGGCAGAATTAGGAAAGTGACACATCTGCTTTGTGTCAGAAAAAGGAAAACTTGGAAAGGAAAACTTAACTAATTTATTTCCTTGCAGTTTGTGCACATCTGTGCTCATTAAAATCAATGGTAAAATTTGAATTTTCTTCAGTGATGTAAGATCAAGTAAAAACATTTAAAGACTGAGATATTCCCACTATCAAAACTAAATTTCTTTTTGATTTCTGAGTGTTATGGAGGTGGAAAGAATCCAAGCTGAAAATCTGTCTTCTGCCATTATCTGCAAAGTTAACTTTTGTCAGAAATAGTAATAACATTACCATGTAGATCTTTTTTTTAAGTATACATTTAGCATTTTCTTAACATACATTCTGGCAGTACAATAAATTCTTTTGGTTAATGTTGTGTTACATATATTTAAAGATGTAATACTTTATTGATTCAGACCCATCCTAAGAGGCAAAACAAAAAATTTTTATGTTCACTGGCTGTCAGATGACACAGAATATCTTTGTAATAATAAGACTTAATCTCTTAAGAAATCCTAGATTTCCATCAAAGTATCAAGTTAAAAAATGAACAGGAAAAAAAATAAAGTACTCTAAACAGGAGCAGTATCAAAGATATACAGAGAGTCTAGAGAGGTCCTGATACTTTCTTTGGCAGGCGTTGTGCATGAGTGTTTTAAGTCACTCAAAGACTCACCAGCAAAGGTATAAAGCAAACTTAATATAAAAGTGAAAGCATGACAAAGTTCATTGGCAAGGTTCACTCTACGACTTGCTGGATGTAAAAGAAAACAGACAAAAATCAGACTAAGATCTAAAATCAGTCAATCTAAATTTAAAATTAACTTAAAATGATCTATGTGGAGGTTGAGGGTAGATAAAGGGTAACTAAAAAAAGGAAGAAAGGAGACTGTCCTGTTGAGTCACCAGGTTCAGAGTGGACCTCCTTACCAAACTTAGCCTCAGACTTGATCAGTGACTTAGGCCTAAGGGTTTTAACAGCACTTAATAGCACTTAATCGATAGCCTAATTTAAACAATTTTTACATTATTTAGATTCAATAGAATTTCCTATAGTACAACAGTAATTCACTCATAGGCCTAACTTACAAATCTAACATACTTAAGAATGTAAGACAGCATTCATAGCACATATTCTACAGTATATTCACGCTTGCAAGCACTCAGACCTAAAGGACTGTGTACAAGGCATGTACTTGTGAAAAACTCTCCTCAAGTTCACTGAAGTACTCACATCACATGCTTTGCATATTCCTAATGGGCAAAGAACTGGAGGTATTGGTCCAGGCTCCATTGTCATCTTTCAACAGTGGTCCTCTGAGTATAGCAAACTTGAGAGTTTGCTAGCTCTGAGGGTGTCCCACTCAGAGGGAGATCATAGAATCATAGAATGTCCCAGGTTGGAAGAGACCTTAAAGATCAGCTAGTTCCAAGCTCCCTACCATGGGGCAGGGGCACCTTGCACTAGACCAGGTTACTCAGAGTTCCATCTAACCTGTCCTTGAACACTTTTAGAGGTGGGGTATCCACAGCTTTGCCTAGCAACCTGTTCAAGTGGCTTACCACCCTCACAGCAAAAAACTTCCTCCTAATATCTAATCTAAACCTACTCTCTTTTAGTCTGAACTCATTCCCCCTTGTCCTGTCACTACATGCTCTTGTAAAGTGCCTCTCCATCTTTCCTGCATGCTCCCTTCAGGTACTGGAAGGATGCAATCTGTTCACCCTGAAGCCTTCTCTCTTCCAGGCTAAGCAAACCCAACTCTCAGCCTTTCCACATAGGAGATGTGCTCCATCTCTAATCAATTTGGTGGCCCTTCTGTGGACTCATTCCATGAGGACCTCAGAGCTGGATGCAGCACTCCAGGTGGGGCCTCCCAAGAGTGGAGTAGAGGGTAGAATCACCTCTGTTGACCTGCAGCCCACGGTTCTCTTGATGCAGTTCAGGATACGATTGATTTTCTTGGCTGCAAGTGCAAATTTGTGACTAATGTCCAGCACCCCTAGTCCTTCTTGTCAGGGCTGCTCTCAATCTGTCCATCCCCCAGCTTGTATGGTAGTGGTGGCTGTCCCAGCCCAGGTGCAGCACTTTGCACTTCATCTTGTAAAAACACATAAGATCCCCATGGTCCCTCTTCTCGAGCTTGTCTAGGTTCCTCTGGACAGCATCCTGTCCTTCAGGTGTGTCAATCCCTTCATCTATGTCATTAAGAAAGATATTAAATAACACTTATCCCGGTATGGACCCCTGAGGGACACGGCTTGCTGCTGCTCTCCATTGAGACTTCAGGTCACGGTCTACTGTGATCCAGGAGAGCTCAATGGGTCTCCCTTAGGACCGCTGCTTATAGGGTTGCAAATAAGTTGTCTTTCCTTACAGTAATTTTCCATCCTAGCTGCAATTCAGGCAGATAACTTGCTTTGAAAGTTCAATTTAAAAAATATAGTTCTACTTGCGTTGTTACCCAGTCAAGAAAACAATGTTTCCAAGGCTGTTCGCTAAAAAAAAGGATGTCATTAGACAGCACTAGTTTCTGGGAGCAGATGGTGTTTCTGATAAGCTCAAGACAAGCTTAGCCCAGGTGCTGTTTGTCAAGACCAAGGCCTAACGAGCATTTCTGAGATCATAGTTGCAGCTCAAGGAGGGGAGAGGGGCATTACCACCACAGCAGGATGTAAATTTGGCATCTCTGCTTAAATATGAAAACTGTAAGAAAAAAAAAATACAGTTTATTACCATATATTACAAAGATAGCCTTCAAAAAACCCTTTATTGAGTAGAGCATGTAGTAAAATTTAGCATAATTCCATCAACTTCTAGGAAACTCACACAATATTTAATGTCTTTAAGATCTTTATTCATGTTGGTGCTGCCTGACCAACCTGATCTGCTTTTATGATCAGGTGACCCGCCTGGTGGATGAGGGGAAGGCTGTGGATGTGGTCTATCTGGACTTCAGTAAAGCCTTTGATACTGTCTCCCATAGCATACACAGCTTGGACAGGGCCACTCTGTGCTGGGTTAAGAACTGGCTGATGGTTGGGCCCAGAGAGTGATGGTGAACGGTGCTGCATCTAGTTGTTGGCCGGTCACTAGTGGTGTCCCCCAGGGATCAGTGTTGGGCTCAGTTCTGTTTGATATCTTTATTGATGATCTGGATGTGGGGATTGAGTGTACCATTAGCAAATTTGCAGATGACACCAAGCTGGGGGGGCATCTTGATCTGCTGGAAGGCAGGAGGGCTCTGCAGAGGGACCTGGACAGGCTGAACAAATAGTCTGATTCCAACGGAATGAGGTTCAACGAGGCCAAGTGCCAGGTCCTGCACTTTGGTCACAACAACCCTATGCAGTGCTACAGCTGGGGACAGAGTGGCTGGAGAGCAACCAGGCAGAAAGAGCCAGCAATGTGCCCAGGTAGACAAGAAGGCCAATGGCATCCTGGCCTCTATCAGGAACAGCGTGGCCAGCAGGACCAGGGAAGCGATTCTTCCCCTGTACTCAGCGCTGGTGAGGTCACACCAGGAGTACTGTGTCCAGTTCTGGTCCCCTCAGTTCAGGAAAGATATTGAGGTGCTGGAGAGTGTCCAAAGAAGGGAAACAAGGCTGGTGAAGGGACTGGAGCACAAGTCCTATGAGGAGAGGCTGAGGGAGCTGGGGTTGTTCAACCTGGAGAAGAGGAGGCTCAGGGGAGACCTCATCACTCTCTACAACTACCTGAAAGGAGGCTGTAGCCAGGTGGGTATTGGTCTCTTTTCCCAGGTAATCAGCAGTAGGACAAGAGGGCACAGTCTTAAGCTGTGTCAGGGGAGGTTTAGGTTGAATATTAGAAAAATATTCAGAGAGAGAGTAATCAGACATTGGAATGGGCTGCGGAGGGAGGTGGTGAATTCACCGTCCCTGGGGGTTTTTAAGAAGAAACTGGATGTGCCATGGTCGAGTAACGATGGTGGTGTTGGATCAAGGTTTGGACTTGATGATCTCGGAGGTCTTTTCCAACCCAGTCGATTCTATGATTCTGTTAATTTCTTTTTCTGGGGAAGGTAATGATCACAAAGATATCCAGACAAAGCAGGAAATGTCATAAACTATGTTTCTGTAGGAAATAAGATTAATTAAAAAAGACTCCAAAACTCCTTCTTTAAAGACAGTGCATGAAATAGAGAATAACTGTGATTACAGCTGCCTATCATCTCCAAAGAATGAATTTGCCACATATGCTAGGAAGTAAACAATAAACAAAAAGATTGGGAACTCAGAGGAAGAGAACTCTTGAAGTCTCTTTATGGAAAGAATGACTAACCTTGATTCTAGACAGTTTACATTTTTAGTAAAACCTTTATATTTTAAACCTTAGTGGAAAAGAAGATATTCATGGAACTATGTACTTCTGTTGCCTTCTCACAATGAAAATCATTCTCCATTGTATACTTATAATTTTATGTAGGCAAAAATTTAGCACACTTTGTACATGGATAAAATTTATTGTTAACTGAGGGAAAATTTTAGAAACCCAGTACAATTCAAGCAGATATCATTAATCCAGTTACAATAATACTAATACTTACAGTATAACTTACTACAGAAAATTAATATTCTAGAGCAAAGTGTTATTCTATAATAAGTAGAACTAGTACTTACCCTTTTCTCTGGTGCTGCACTCATTCTTCTAATGTTTCCATGAGTCTTAAGCATGACAGCCATGTTCCTCAGTCAGAGAGGTGGTCTGTTGCCACAAAACATTGATAAAGTTTCCAGTTCTTCCCCACAGGACGTATGATATCTGTGGTGGTGGTTCCTTTTTCACTGTCTTTGGATTAGTTCAAGGTTATCTTTTTACTTCTTATTACAGTCTAATTCTTTGTCACATGTTTCCAACCACAGATTAAAAGTTGCACAATCGCTTCTTCCAATCTCAGTGGACATAGTCATATTATGTTTTTTATGCAATATATGTTGGTCATACATATACCATACATGGTCAAAGATCTGATAATACAACAGATCAGACAATGATCATACAATTGTTAACAGTTTGGAGAAAACTCAGTAGTATGCTCACGTAAATGTGTCTCTAAACCTAACTCTAAGGTTAATGGTTTGTCCATGAGATCACACAGTGCCTTGCCAGGTGAGCATGCTGATCAGACAACTGTTTATATGTGACCAGACCTTTTCATCACCTTATCCCTCAGTTTATACATACTTCTTCCTCCTGAAATTATCTATGTCTTTCCCTTTCCCCATGCTTCATTCTTCCCCTAAGCATCTCATAGTAAGTCTTAGGCAAGCCTAAAATTCTCTTCCCCTACAACCCATAATTTGTCCCATAGCCCTAGGTAGGGAATTCCTTCAGTCCCAAAGGTGCTCTGGAAAACTGCTTATCTTCTTGATAGGTTTCAAACTTGGACAATGAGGTGGAGTGTATTCTAGGAGAGGGTATTTGTGTTTCTGCTGGCCTGTGTGTCCCTGTGCTCCTTTGGAATTGTGAGATGGGCTTTTGTAGGGCAAATGGCTCCTGTGATGGGCTTGGAAGCAGCCCGGTAGGGTAATATTTGTGCTCCTCCACCTGTAGTTTTCTCTCTCTCATATTTTGGAGTGCGTAAAAAAGTTTTTCTCATATAACTTAACACTCTTCATATAGAAAAAAAGAATCTTCGGCTAAATGTGCCATGATCTTCAATCTACGCATGACTACAGATACAGATACACACACGGAATTAAAGATACATAAAAATAGTTATGTGGCTCCAGGTTCATTACACATACACATACATACAGATGAGTAATGAACCTGGAGGGACATAACTATTTTTCAAGGTTTACTCAGAAAAAACAGTAGAGAACCTAGTGTTTCAATATAAAGAATCAATTGTAGAGGTTACTAGATAGCGTTCTAAGTAGACAAATGATACTCCAGATCCAGAACTCACAACTTGTCACAGGCTTTGTCCAAAGGAAGTCATATTTATGCTATCTGTTTAATGCCTTGTTGAAAAAGATAACACTTGTCAATCAAGTCTGTCATACGTTTTGCATTGTTGGAGCCTGAATTTTTGTTATTAGCCTGGAGGCAGGATTTTCATCAAAAACAAAGACACATTTATGGCAAGAAGTGAGAAGAGGTTTTTTATGCTACCATCAAAAATCAGTTTCTTAGAAATCATGAAAAAAGAAGTTGTTTTTAGTATTTAAAAATGTATTTGATGGCAATATCTCTTTCTAGATATAAGTGGGTTGGTTTTCGGGGGGTTTTTTTTGTTGTTTGTTTGTTTTTTTAGAAACACGTCTTTTTTTTAAATTTAAATTCCTCTTTAATACATTTAAAGCATATAACTTATACCAAACAGTTATTTTAAGTTGTCTGTCAGACAAACTTCTAGTAACTCAATAGTGGTAGGGGGAGCGGTTTCCACTGTATAAATTTGGAAGCTTTCATTCCGTCAGCCACTGGTAGAGTAGTGACATTTCTTATGAAACGTCCTATGTCAGACAGCAAAAGCAGTGCCTATTATGGTGTCATGCTCCTTTTCCTCTTAATTTTCATAACTTAATGAGTTGGTGAGTTTACTTTGGCTTCACTCCAGTTGCCTACGAAGCCGCTCTTCAATGGAACAAGAAGATGGAGACAATAATAATGGAGACAATAAGATGCAACAAAACTCATGGATTGAGATAAACTCGGTTACCTAAAGCAAAAACAAAGTTTGTGTGCATACAAGTCAGTAACAAACCATAAGATTTTACTCTCTACTTTCCATCAGCAAGCCTTGTCCAGCTACTTCCTGGGAAGCAGGGCTTCAATACATGTAGCAGTTGCTCCAGAAGGCAAACACTGAAAATAACAAATGCCTACCCCTGCCTTCCTCCTCCTTTCCCTTTGCTTTTATTGCTGAGCAGACGCCATATGGTATGGAATATCCCTATGGTCATTTGGGCCCGTTGCCTTGGCTATGGTCCTGTCCAAGGTCTTGCCCACCCCAAGCACACTGAACAGGGGGGAATGTTGGAGGGACAACCTTAATACTGTGCCAGCACTGCCAGCTGTAGCCAAGACACTGGTGTGTTACCAACACCTTTCCAGCTACCCATACACAAAGAACAGCATGATGAGGGCTGCTAGAGTGGAAATTAACTCCGCGGCAGCTAGATCAAATATACTTGAAATCCATACATTTTTCTGAATGTTACAATTAACAATTAAGCTTTTTTACTGAAATTTATGTCTAGATTATTATTATTTTTCAATTCTTGCACTATTGGGATATGATTAATGAATCTTGCTTTACATCTCTAAATATGAAGAGGTTTATTTATCAAGGATTTTTAAGATTAAAGAATAAACCTTTCTCTACAAGATAGTTGAACTCCTATAGAGCTGCAACTGCACAAGCCAGTAAAACTACTCTAATATAATTAGTGACACTGATATTAGACTACAAAGATTTATTGCTAGTTTTTGACAAGCTGTATAATCTTGTCAGGTTTTTTACCAGAGACCAAATTCAAGTGTAGAGGATCTCAAACTCTTGAAAAACTCATTCAGGTTTGGCTTTTATAACTCTCACTGAATAGGAAGACACTACCCTAGAATCAAAAAGTTCATACTGTTACTTTTGTTAAATGATGATGACTTTACTACGAGGATTCTAGATATTTTGCCATGTAATGAGAGGATGGATATATTGGTCACCAAACATTGTTTGTCTCTCAAGTGTGATATTGTGTGACAACATCTCATTTCAGAAGTCAATTTTTTCTGAACTTTGTGTTTATTTTCTGAAGCAAACACTACTACAAAACAGATTCATATTGAGAGGACTAAATCTAAGGCTTCTGACTGTTCCTTTATTTGTTGACATGCAATTATATTTTAGACAATAGCATATAACTACAAAATAGCATATAACTACAACATTTGTAAATATTTTATTTCCTCTTTTAGAAGGTAGACTAAAATATTTCAGAAGTGACATCTGTTTTACATATTTCCTGCCCTCCTGTTCTTCCCATCCTGACTGGTCTAATATGTTTCTGGATATAATTGTACATTCATGATTAAAAAAAAAAAATAATGCAAAGAGACATGACCATCACACTATATAGAATTTAACACAAATGAAACTTTATGAATTGCAGCTCAAGTATGCAGTCCATCCTCTTTAATTATCCTCTTTAATTTAAAATTCAGAGGCAACACATATGATATATTTCAAAACATATACTGTGTAGTTCAGAATGAATGATTTAGAACCTTACAGGTCTAACATACAAAGAAAAATATCACTGTCTACTGACAAAGGTATAAATGATTTTGTTTTTAAAATGTTCTTCTATATGATCATGTCTCCCATGGACATGAAGGAGCAAGGACTAATATAAGAACCATAATCTTTTGTACAACAGTTAAGAGAAACTTTTAGTCATATAGTCTATTAATGACCTCCTTATGAGTCACTAAAAGTTTCTCTTAACTGTTGTCAGTTATAATTTCAAAAATATGTATAATCATGTAGTAAAATAATGCACTAAATATTTCAAGAGAAAGAAGAGACATAATCAACTTTTTGGTAAGGAATACATATTTTCTTATGAGGCGAAGAAAAGCTAATGTAATATCAGATTGTCTGCCTGAAGGAAATCTTTAAATAACTAGATGAAGTTGAAGAATATATTTAGATTTTGATAGAAGACTTCATGATATGAGGGCTATTAGAATTAAATACTCATACCTTTACTAAAATAGAAATTAATGGAAATATGATGTGAGAGAACAACTATAAACTGTTCAGAAGTGCAAAACTATACAGGAAACATTTTGCATCAGATAGATTATTTTGATAACAATTGTCAGAAATAGAGTTACAGAAGTTTTAAGATGAATGTAGAAAAATGAATTTAGCAATGAAACAAGTAAGATCTCCGTTTGCTTGTTTTTATGACAATTATGATGGCATAGAACAGGGGTGGTGTCACAGGTTTTTCTTGCATCATGATCTGGGTCAGAGGCCTTTATTTCAATACATAATGGAAAATATATAAGCGTTGGGATTTTTTCTTGTTGTCATTGTTTTATTGCTGCATTTGCTACTCTAAAATCTTAAGTATGTGACCTATTTCCTACAAACCTGAGGAGAAAAATCAATCTGTCATGTCAAATTTGTCAATTTAAGAGATTTTTTTAAATAGAGATATCTATGAAGATTTGTTATCCATATGATATTACATTGTTTAATATATTCCCTAGGTACTCAATACTATATGGTAGCATGTAATTTGGATTTTCCATATCCACTAAAAAAACAATGAAAAAAAATTCAGCAGATTTGGTTATTGGAAGACAGAAAAAAAACACCTTTTCAGATGAGACAAAAAACTATTATTTTTCTCGGTTGTTCACTTTTTTTCATTTATAATAAGCTTCACATCTGAAAGAAACCAAAAATACTCTAATTGTATTCCCACCTTATGTCAATATTTTACATTACATTGAAGTTTGTATGGAAATATTACTGTAAGTTAGAGAGAACAAATAACAGTCAAATGTGCATGCTTTGCTTCTTTTGGCAGGTTTCTTTACAGACCTTACCAAAAAGAATGTTTCAAAGAATGAACAATCATTGTCTACTTTTTGAAATCTCTACAGCTAAAAGGTTAATGAATGGAATTGTGAAATTAGGTTAGTTAGTAGGTCAGAGACATGTTTTCATAGTTCACTGTTAACTTGTCATTGACCAACATCAGTGACAGCAATACATGGATCTCCAAAATTTCTTGTTGTCCTTCTCTTACTCCTTAGGATAACCTTTTGGACTGAAATATGTCCAATGCTTTTGAAAACAATACCAATGAGGTACCGCAAGGAAGAACTGGCTTGGAAATGTAGAATATATCTCCTTTTGTTTCAAAGAGTCTTTAAGTCCCACACTGCTGGTTCTGGCTTAAATAGAATTAATTTTCTTTTTAGTAGCTGGTATGGTGCAACATTTTGGATTTGTGCTGAGTACAGTGTTGATAACACAGGATGTTTTGGTTATTGCTCAGCAGTGCTTCCACAGAGTCAAGGTCTTTTCTACTTCTCACGCCACCAGCAAGGAGGCTGGGGCTGCAGAAGAAGTTGGAAAGGGGACACAGCTGGGACAGCTGACCCCAAGTGAGCAAAGCAGTAAAAGGTGGAGGACAGGAGGAGGAGGGGGGAATATTCAGAGTGATGGTGTTTTTTTGTCCAAGTCCCCGTTACACAGGATGGAGCCCTGCTTTCCTGGGAGTGGCTGACCACTTGCCTGGCCGTGGGAAGCAGTGAATGAATTCCTTGTTTTGCTCTTCTAGCAGCTTTTGGTTTACCTGTTAAACTGTCTTTGTGTCATCCCATGAGTTTTCACAGTTTTGCCCCTCCATTTGACAAATCTTATACCTTTTTATATAGAGATATCTGTATTTTTGCAAGCTGAAGTATTTTCTTTATTGCGTTTTTCGTGGGTAACACAGGGAGTGTAATTCTGCCAACTGTAGGTGAACTGCAAAGGACTTACCTGGACTGAATATATACTATGTAGTGGAAGTCTTTTAACTTAAAGAATTCAGCATTTGTTATTGGAAAAAAAAAAAAGAACGGAAGAAGAGTGAAAACAAAAATAAATTGAGCATGGAAGTTAAGGAGAGTAAAATAGATGATGATAAGTACATTTTTCATGCATAAGATTTTTCATCTGGCTAGTAGCCAGTAACTGTAAAATGCAAAATTGAATGCTATATCTCATAAGAGACGATTTCTCACTGAATTGCTGTTTACTTCAGATAGGTCTTTTCTAGTTTACTCTTTATAACTAATTCACCCTTAAGTCATCCTATTTCTCTCTGCCTTTTTAACTCAACTAAGATTTTTCTACGTACTTAGTCATAAATCTAGTCACAGTTTCCTAATGTTGTCAGCAGCCGCTAAAAGCTTTGTTCAGGGTGCTCACATTAAATGTGCTGATTAGTAACACTTGAAAATGCAGGTTGGCTTTTTTTTATTTTTCCCTTTATTGATGTCTGTGTATACACAGATTGTGAGTGTTTATGTAGTGGAGAGAGATATAAAACAGATACAATAACCATGTCTCTTTTTTTGTGTAAACAGTTCCAGACAACCTCACATTCCCAGTTTATATGTTTTCATTGGCACTTCCACTTATGACAAGAGAACTGCTTTGTATTTTACAAGTTCTGACTAAAAGTGTTCATACTTGTCATCTAGTTGAAGTGAAATGTGAAAACCTCCTAAAAGACATTATATTGGATTTACTGGACAACTATGAAAGCTAAAAGCCCAATGCTTTTTGTGTGTGTAAACTGTAGCTTCTGGAAGAGAGAAACACTCACATTGAATATCTCTTTCCTTTGTGTGCTGGTGAAGAGAACATTCTCTATCTACAGGATGGAAGAATCCATTACTACTGGAATCTCAATTCCCACTGCTACTGAGGAGAGATATTCTTTTTATTCCCTCAAAAACCTCCATGGAATTGTCATGAATTAGTATTTTGTGTAGCCGTGAAACTCCATCTTCCTATCTGTGACACCCATTGTTGTGAGTTTTAAGAGTTGTAGTTGTAGTGTGCTGTCTTGAGATTAATATAGGAAGTGAATATTAAAATTTACCTATAATTATTTTGCCTTGAGAATACGCATAGAGATCAAAGTTTCTTTAT